TCACTAAAATATCTGACCTGTCAGATAATAAAAGATACCTATGCTACAAATAAAAACACCTGGGAGTGGTGTACAGCTCTGTGTCGCTGGCTTAGAGTGGTGTCGATTTATCCAAACAGGTTGGACAGCGGTCTCGTTCGAAGAGGACTGCTGTGTAGCTCCTCTCCTCTTCCCACCTCTCCTGTGTCCCTGAAGGAGGCGCTGTGGATGATCTGGGCTCTGTGGCGTCCTCTGTGCAGCCGGGCATTCAGTCGGCTCAAAGACGTCTTCCTCTGCATCCCCCCTTTACTCTTCCCGTTACCCGTTCCATCTTCTGATGCCTCTGTTGGTGAATTCAGCAGCCGGAGCGGATTCAGATTCCCTTGGAGGACTTTGGCAAATCTCCAGCCCCGACCTCTGCCGCTGCCGTTGTTCTCACTGTCTGACTCAGGTCCCGGTGAGGTGACCACTCCTTCTTCCAGCAGGTCAGCAGCTAGCGGTGGGGACAAGTACTGCATTGGTCTCCTCCCGCTGTAATCTCGAGCTTCAGGGTCTGCATCCCAGTCTGACAGCAGGACACGAACCACCTGTCAACGCAAACACACCGCATGCAAACATGAGAGGTCTCGTTTTCATGGATATTAGAAGGCGACCATGTAGCTGCATTTCTTTCCCTCTCTCTCCCCACTTTCATGTCTGTCTACACCGTCTCTATCCAATAAAGGCTAAAATGCCAAAATAATAATAATACTAATTATTAAAAAAATGAATAACTAGACATTTGAAACTTGTCCACAACTGGGTGTTGCAACAGGGCAATAATCCCAAACACAAATAAAAACTAGAAGGTGTCTGTGAAGGTTCTCAGTCATCCAGGTCATCGTAGTCTAAGGAGCTTGGAAAGGAAAGCGTCTGGACTTCTTTACATTGCTTGAACGTAAAGAAGTCCAGACGCTTTCCTTTCCAGAAAAAAAAAAAAACTAGAAGGGATAGAGAAAGCTAACATTAAGCTTCTGGTAAGAGCACTGATCTGTAATAGGTTCTAAATGAATCAACTCTGCACAGGAGAGTGGTCAAATATCCATATTGTTACTAAAACATGTGGTTGAGGTGCAACTTGCTAAGGAATATTGAACCAAATAACAGTGCACGTTTGAACCCCTATGTATACTTTTGGCGCTATGTGGATTGCAGACTATCTAAAATAAGCTCAAACTTCTTGTCATTAACAATATATGCTGTACAATCATTCCATCCTGGAAAAAAAGCTTCAAAGAAATCCTTAAAAATCCCAAATTACCACCTAGGATGAGTGTGTTTAAACTTGTGTTTACAACCATAGTTCAGTTAACTTGTTTTGAGCTAATGTTTCTAGCCTGGGCAGATAAAGTGTAGGTAATTATGTACTGCTTCACTGAGCAGGTGTAACACATGATACTACTCCCTGCAACCCACCTGGGTGTGTCCATGCATGGCGGCCAGGTGCAGCGGTGTGTAACCAGCACTTGATCTCACATTCACATTCACAGGTATAGTGTTCTCTTTGGCAAAGGTGAGCAGCTGAGACAGCAGCTCAGCTTTGCCCTGCTTAGCTGCCCAGTGGAGGCAGGTAAAACCAGTCACAAAGTCTCTCTTGGTCACCAGGCTGGGTTCGACAGCAAGCAGGGGCTGAAGGCTGTCCCACAGGCCGTCTGAGGCGCACAGCATCCACTCGTGCTCTAGAGGGTCCAGGGTTACTGAGGCGCAGTCCTCGTCAGCGGCTGAGGAGAGGAGGGACGCCGAGTCGCCTTCGCTCTTAACCGAGTCCCGGAGGCGTGACCCACGGTTGATCAGAGATCTCCGCACCTGACAGAACATACAATAGCCGTGGCTTTTGTTAAGATTTTTGTGTCACAGCACAAAATGTAGTCATTTAGAAATTCCCAGCAAACTGTTACTTTCCACAGAAAGCTGCCATTCAAAGAAAGAAAAAAAGAAAAAGGGCAAAAGCAACAAATACTTAATGATAATAAAAAGCACTGTGTCCTACCTGAGGAGAACTACTCATCATCAGCTCTATGAAGTTCCTGCGACTTCCTTTGGGTGTTTGGATATCTCCTATATGGTCCAGTCCCTCCAGAGCACTGTCTTCAGACAGGCAGCTGGTCAGCATGGCACGCTGTGACCCTCTAGACACCCTGCGTGCCCCTCTTGTCTGCTGGTTATGAGATCCTCCGGGTTGGGCCTGGTCGAGATCTGGCATCCCAAGAACTGGAGCTGACTCTCGTCTCCTTCTGTCTCTTAGCTTCACTTCACCTCCTCCACCAGGGGTAGGAACTCCTGTGCTGGTCTTGCTCTGGGATGGGGTTGCAGGTTTCTTATTGCCATTTGTCTGTTTGTCATTGTCCAGTGGAAAGTGGACCCCTGTAAGACCATTAGTTTTTTTGTGTTCATTCAACTTCATGCAGACTTTTGATCACATGCTGCAGAATTTAACAGGCTGTTGTTGTTATTTTTCCTCACTGGTGTCATTAGTATCCTGAACCTTAGGGATTTTGTGGTTTTGGCAGGAAATGATTCCAAATTAAATTGAATCAAACACTATTTTGTACGGTGAAAAAAAAAGCAGTATGCGTATATTGGCCTGTAAAAACAACAAAATAATTGCCAAACCTTTTATTTATTCGTGCTGTATTACAAATAAACAAGTAGACAGTACATAAACAAAAATATAGATAAAACAGCCTACGTTACACGTAAGAAAGCAATTCATGGATAAAACACGTGCGTAAAAATCACGCAAACACAATGGATCCGTCGTCCTCACCTGTTTGGTCGCCCTTATCATGATTGCCGTTGACACAGTTGTTGTCCAGCGTCTCTTGGATGTTGCCATTGCACTCCGCACCATCGTGGCCATCTACGTCTGTACGCATCACCGACGCCCCGCTGCCTTCACTGTTCAAACACACAAATTTCACGCCGTTTTCCACCTTCACGAAACCCACGCTGTCAACGATGCTTTTCAGCACTTCGCGATCCACCCCTTCCTTCGACTGTTCATTCAGCGATAGGAAATGATCGATCAGCTCCATCTGTTGGACCCTCCCTCCTCTCTCCGACAGGAACTCCTGCACGGCTTGCACTGTGCAGCGGGACGCCATCATCATCATCGTCCTCGTCCTGAACGACTCAGACAGAGCGCAAAGATCACTGGGTTATTTGCGCACGAAGGTTTAAAAATGAGCCCATTAACGCGCTCATTCGCTTAAGGAGAGGATGACAGCATCTTCTTCTCTGGCCTCCTCCTCTCCTCCATGGGAAGACCAGTGTTTAGCTCTTTCAGACAGGGGGCGCTCACATCGTCTCACAGGCAAGGGGCAAGAATCATGTTGCGTTCCAGTGCTCATCGGAAACGCGGGCTTCCCAGACGACTAGTTATTTAAAAGTGACCATAAATACTGCGTATACATAATATATAATAAAATATACATTTTTTCCCCCGGTCAACACACTCACAGTATTAATAATAATTGCACTGCACAATTTGAACTTTTCAAAATAATATCCAAGGTTCATCCAGATTGCATTATGTTCATCCTATTTACGGCTATCTTTCATGCCCAGCTGGAGTTTCTTTTTGCATGCAGTGAGGAAACCGGACTCAATCTCCTTGTATTTTTACAAAAACTTGGCCAGATTAAGAGGATTCTGATCCTAAAACATTTACCTCACCTCACAAAGAAAAGTAATCCACCGCAGAACTTGATCTTTCGGTCCTTATTAAAATTTTACAAAACAACAAAAACAGGAGGTTATTTGAGTAAACAAATACACCTTAACAGTCAAGAAGTAAATTCAAGTGGAAGAGCACAAATTATTGACCTAAAAGGTGCAAATTGAACCTTAAGCTTATTAAACCTGTACTTATTTGTTATATTAAGATTTCAACCAAAATACAAAAAAGATGATACAATATGAAGAATCGAAACAGAACCAGGACAAAAATAAATGTTTCTTTTAAACAATGGAAATCATTCTGTTCCACATTTTTATATTTGTTTACGATCTGATTTTTAGACTGTTTTTAAAATGACATAGTGAACAGAACAATCTTAATTCCTCATTACAGTTACTCACATTTACCCATATAACAGATACACCTTGTATTTGTTTTTAAATTGTCCTGGCCCTGTTCTTAGTTAACATGCTTTCCCTCTAATTTAAAACCTCCAAATACAGTTTAGAAGGAGATTTTTTTTGTGCTTTGTACAATATCAGTGGAGTCCGGAGCTCAATGAAACAGTAGAATTTTAAGGCATGCAATTTAATGGATATTCTAATGCCTTGATCATAATAATCTGATAATCTTTAATCTATTTATAATTGCTTTAGCTTTCTTCTGTAGCATATAAACCGGATTAGTTAGTTGGTCTTACATGCATTTCCCCATAGCTATACACAGCAGATCCTATATGGAACAGTTTTAAATTAATATGATATATATAATGATTTTTCATTTCATTATTTTATTATAATAATCAAACCTCAAAAAAATCTGATTTCATACATTTTAATGTTTTGTCGGTGCAAACAGTCCCCAAAGTAAGCACTGGGAAAATTAAATTGCGCTGTACCATTATTAGAAAAGGGGGGCGATTTTATTACTGCATTATGTTTTTCTTGCTTTTCAGCGCTATCTTATCTTTTATTTTTGTAAATTACATGCTGTAGAACATTTAAATATTGGAGCCTCCGCAAAATTTGCCATAACTTGCATGACTGTCGATATAAAGAAAATTTAGAAATCGTCCCATTACTACATTGTTTTTAATGGTGTCGTCTGTCCAGTTGTCGACAGCAGTAGGGCGGTATTGAGCGAGATTCTTTGAGAAAGAAGTCGATCCTTTTCTAATTTTAATTTTTTTAAAGTTATTTCTGAATCTGTTTACGACCTATCTTAAGTTATGGCTTCTTCGGATGTTGCGCGGCAGCCGGTTAGTATTTTTATTTTTTTTTTACTCTGTGTTGTCGACAATAAACTTCTTTCTAGACAGTTGAGCAGGGAGTGTCCGAGGCTATCGTTAAGTTAGCTCCTAGCCTGAAAACTTTCAGTTATTACACTTATGGAAAACATTTATGTTTAAACAGGGCAAAGTTTAAAACTCGACAACATATGTATGATGTGCTATCAACACAAGCACTGAACCTTTTTTTAAAAAAGATCCCCGGTTATGCCTTTCACTACGGTAAACGGCTGAGAGGGCGCTAGCTGGCTAAGGCGACACTAGCAGTGCTACATTAGTTTCATAGAATCGTTAACGTTAACTCCGTGATAAGCTTTTGAAAATATGTGTGCAATTCGTGCCTGCCGCAAGATGTATTTGTACGTTGCGGGAGCTTTGTGACACAAATATCATTGATTATTACCCCTCACAAATCTGAATGAAAGTTGGCGTTTCGACCTCCAGCAATGACAAGGATTCAGAAATAAAGCACAGCACCGCCCACAGAGTTATTAAAGGTTCTTAGTCATAGCATATCTAAATCAGTGCTGCTGACCACCTACACTCGGGATGTTTCATTAATTTAGACTGGAGAAGGTCTGACAAAGTGGACGACGGTGATATTTAAAGTTATCTCAGGCTTTTGGAAGTTAGGTGGATTTATCTTATTGTCCTATTTAACGTCTTCTAACCGCTTTTGTGCCACTTTGGTCCACACACAGGCTTTAAAAACCAGATTTATTTAATCAGGCAAAGAATAAAGACAAAAATACGTAAACATCTTGGCTGGACTAGACTACTCGGTGCATTATGTGATTCTGTTTGTTTGTAAGTGCAATATTTTGTGAAATAAGAGAGGAAAAAAAGCATCATAATGTTACAACCCAGCTTTTCCTGTCAAATTTATTCCACAGGATAAAGGAGTCCGGTCCTTGTCTCTTGCTGGCCATGTGGGCTTTGACAGCCTTCCTGACCAGCTTGTCAACAAGTCCATCTGCCAGGGCTTCTGCTTTAATATTCTCTGCATCGGTACTGTGTCGCTCACACATAGATACATAGATGAAACTCTGCATACATTATGCAGAGTTTCTTTTTGCTGTTGATGATGAGCTAATTTAAAAAAATTTTTTTTTTGGTATTTAGGAAAAAATTAAGACATTTTTATTATTATTTGTCATGTCATTTAGACAGGAGTAGTGGACATTTTTGTTGAACAAATTGACAGGAATAACAGAACATAGACTCTCTCAGAAAGTTTTATTGCCTTTATAAAACGTAGGTAGGTTGTCTGTCATTAAATAGTAATAGAAATGCATTGCTAAATTTTATTTTGCATACAAACATTCAGTTAATGATCTCAGTTTGCAGCTCTTAGTCATGCATTCCTGATGTTAAAGCTCCTGCACACTTAGCTAGAATTTATTGTGACCACAGTTGCATTGCTAGATAAATCTGACTTTCTGGCAGTTATAGTTACAATAAAATTGTGCTGAAAATTTTCTGTTTCAAGTTTAGTTACTAAAGATTGCATCATATGTCTCTTTTGTGCCCCTAGGTGAGACGGGTATAGGCAAGTCTACACTGATGGACACGCTATTTAATACCAACTTTGAGAACTTTGAGTCATCCCACTTTGAACCTCAGGTGAAGCTCCGGGCTCAAACATATGACCTGCAGGAGAGCAACGTCAGACTACGTCTCACTGTGGTCAACACAGTTGGCTTTGGAGACCAGATGAATAAACAAGAGAGGTACGAGGAAGAGCTGAGTAGGTTATTAATGTTGGAGGATTGCGACTGCCGTGAAGTGATTTTACTGTCGTTGTGAACTTGCCAGTTACTGATGATCACTTTATGTATGTCTTTTAGCTACCAGCCTGTGGTGGACTACATTGACAGGCAATTTGAGAGTTATCTCCAGGAGGAGCTAAAAATCAAGCGTTCTCTTCACAACTACCATGACTCACGAGTCCATGCCTGCCTTTACTTCATTTCCCCCTCAGGCCATTCACTCAAATCCCTTGATCTGGTCACCATGAAGAAATTAGACAGCAAGGTAGGAGAAAGGACCACAGTGTCAGAGGGTATAATAAATGTGTTGTATTTCTCAGTGTCACTGTAATGTAATACTTAAGAAAATCTGTCAGTTTTAAAGTTGTTTTCTTTATGTTTGAAGTAGAAAAAGTAGCAAGTCAAGTTGTTTCACGCATTTTGTGTAATTGATGGCGAAACTTACCTGTGTCTGTGGTTGCAGTGCTACTAAGTAGCATAGTTAATAGCAGGCTTAAGTTTTAAAAAAAAAAATCTAGCCCAGCAACATTTCAGTCAGGCGGCTCACATTTGAAATGTATTATTGCAGCACAAGAATATAATTGGCGTTGGCATCTAGATATGTTACACTTGTTCATTGGGGAATGATGATGTACTCCAAAGGTTAAAACGTAATTAAAAGGGCATGTTTGGTATTTGATCTGAGGAGAGTCAGGTGTGTTGATGTGTATGTCACAACATACCTTCAAACCTAGTTTGTGCTCACAATTGTTACTTTTGCAAACAGCAGCATTCACCAAAACTGACGTCACAACTATTGGCATGCGCCATGCTGTGGTGTAGTTTGGGCTTGTCGTTTCCCTTTTCGATTCCCTTTTCGACCTGACACACAAATCTATGATCATGTTGGTTTTTAACTACCATTTAAGTAAATATCAGAACAGAAGCTAAGATTCCCGGAATATACAGATGGTTTGAAGAGATTATATGTTTTGGAGGAAAAAACCAAACCAACTTTTCATGTCTTCTTGTTTTGACTTTTCTACTCTTATGCCAGCACTAATGCCAAGATTTTTTTTAAAATGGTAAATGGCCTGTATTTGTATAGCGCTTTACTTAGTCCCCAAGGACCCCACAGCGCTTCACACTACATTTAGTCATCCACCCATTCACACACTGGTGATGGCAAGCTACATTGTAGCCACAACCTTCCGATTACAAGACGAACTGCCAACTCTTGAGCCATGATCGCCCCGTGCTGAATTCAGGAGAAAACCTGTCATTCAGGAGAAGTCTGAACTGAGCTGGTTTGCTCCAGGTGCCAATATAAACAATGATGGGGCTGTGGTGACGTTGCATTTGGTGTGTGTTGACCATAAACCAGGCTTAAGTTGTCTACCTGACCTGGACCACTGCCCTCGGTCCACAACAGGCCAGTGATTACCAATGAGGAAAGGGGCAATAATACAGTAGACATTCTGTAAGGCACCATTTCATTACAGTTAAAAGGGTAAGACAATGACAAGAATTGTTGTGTGGAGATGAGTAGTAAAAAATAGAATATGATGTAGACCATATACTAAAAGCATTGTAATCTCCGCATTTAGTTTGGAGCTAAAGATGACGAATTGAACATTATAAAAGATGCTCTGAAAAATCAGGCCAATGCTGAAGTGCCGTAAACGTTTTATGGCCGCCAGTGGATAATAACTGTGGTTCCAAAAAAGAATTTATAAAAGGTTATCTGAAAACCACCCTCAACTTCCTTTCTTTGTGACCTCAGTAAAACACCTTATTGTTATTTTTAGGTAATCCTGAATAATAAAAACAAAAGTTAAAAATCTGGTCAAGAGAATTATGGAGGATATGTTCAGTTTCAGATCCTCCTCTTGTTACACGCAGTTTCAAAAGACCAAGGAGGTGATGGCAAACGCTGTTCAGCTTAGAACAGGATTTCACAAACCACTGGCTGATGTCACTGTGGTTACATCCATCTTTTGTACTGTCTGTGGATGAAGACAGTACAAAAGGCTTAACTTTGATAGCTTTGTCTTCAGTGAACTACAGGGATAACAGGAGATTAATGATGCGTTCATGATGCATTTGCAGGAGATAAATTTCAAACTTGGAAGCGACAACTGCAAAAGGTGCCTTCTTTTAGTGCTTCTTTAGTAGGAATACACTGTGAAAACATTTAACATGAAGACAGATTATATGTGGTTGTGTGTGGGAGAGATGGTGGGAGTTTCTGTATAAGTTGCTACTGAGGTTGTTTTTATGTCTGACTGCTGGGAGAGGTTCACTGTCCAACTAACTGAACCCCCTTCTATCCATTCCTCTTGAAATGGTTAGAGAGTTTCCCATGCTCCCTGTGTGTAGCAACTTTGTGCTTTTTGTGTGTTTGTGTGGTTTCGCTGCTCTGGAGTGTTGGTAACCCTGGATTTGCGTGTGAAAGGGATAGAAGCAGCACTGGAATGCTGTAATCACCTCACGCACACACACTCGAGTTGTCCTTCTGTGTCAGTGTACAGAACCACACAGAAAGAGCCAATTGTTCAATCTGCAGCAGTGACAGACAGACAGTCACTCACTCAGACAGCTGTTGGATCAGATCTCTTAAGACTTCTCTGCTGGGGTCAGTGTGTGTGTATTCTGTATGTGTGTATGGGTGTGTGTGGTCTGGCCCCAGAAGCTCGCCCAATGACAACAAGTCATTCCAGGTCCCAGTTTGGTTTGACAACGTGACAGACAGACAGGAATGTGGGACAGCGTGGTGAACTGCTGGGCCAGAAATGACATTCAGAAAACATGGTTTTTATAACACTTAGCAAAAAATAGTTGTAGGAGAAAGAATTTCTGATAAAGAGAGAGACAACAAATACAGTTCCCGTTCTTGTTGAGTGATACTGTTACCAGTCTGATGACAGGATGTATTTAATGTGTCTACATGTACTTTCACGGTATGCTGTGCTGTGAAAACAACTTGTTTTAGCTCAATTAGTGGATGCCTGTGATATCAGGAGTTGCTCTTTTTATTGAAGATAACTTTGTGAATTTAGTGTTTTGAATTTTATATATTGTCTACATGCAGCTTAAAGACAACAGTAGTTGCTGTCATGGTATTTAGTTCTTATTGAGAATAAAAGTCTCTAAAATAATGTGATAGCTGTGATGAAAATACATTTATTTGTTTCTATTTTATATTTTTCAGTATTTATCTGTATATAAATGTCCTTTAGCATACTGAGGGGAAATGCAGTGGTTTGCATGTCTTAGTTCTCAGTGTCATTGAACCATATCAAGCTACTGATATCAGTGCGGCCTTGCATTCTTTAGTGGATTTATAATTTTGTGCATTTGAGGCATTGGATGTTAATGGAGATGAAGGTCTGACTATGAAAATGGAAGCTAAAGTGTGACTCCATCATAACAAAGACATGGTGAAAATATGTGTGATGGTAAACTGGATTATCAGATTATCATTTTGTTTTTAATTATTATTATTATTTTATTTCACAGATGGCATGAAAAGTTATTTTCTGTAGCTGGCATGTATTTGTAAAAAAATACTGTCACTATGCTTATCATGAACATTTATCACATCTGTCTGTAGGTGAATATCATTCCAGTGATTGCCAAGGCCGACACCATCAGCAAGAGTGAACTGCACAAGTTCAAGATCAAGATCATGAGTGAGCTGGTCAGCAATGGTGTCCAGATATACCAGTTCCCACTGGATGATGAGACAGTGGCCAAAGTCAACACTACAATGAATGTAAGGAAACACACACACACACACACAGACTTTTCTCAGATACAGGTTTAGGTGAATGTTTTTACTGGCAGAAATGTTCGAAACATATAATTCAAATTTCAGACACACACCGTGTGTGTTTTGTTTTGTCAAAGGAAACATTTCTGAGGTGTAAAAGGAATCTGTGATTTTAAGTGAGAATATTAGTGTAGGCGTTTGATCTACAACAGCTTTAGTTAAAGTATTTTTCCAAGCTGTGTCTTTTGCTTCAGATGCATGAATCCGTCTTGTATATGATTTTTTTTTTTTCTTTAAGGGTCATTTGCCATTTGCTGTAGTAGGCAGCACAGAGGAAGTTGCTGTTGGAAACAAGATGGTGAAAGCTCGCCAGTATCCATGGGGTGTAGTGCAAGGTAGGATGAATTACTCTGTTTATGGATTTCTTTCAAGCTTTGGTAGTTCACCTTAACATTTTCCTTTACTGTGGTTTTCACTGGCTACACTTTGTGTCATGCTTGAAACTAGTGCTGGGCGATATGGAAAAAATATTTATCACAAATCAATTATTTTATATCACGATAATGATATATATCACGATATACGACAATTTTACCTTGTTTCCAGTTATTCTCTGGAAAGTTTGACAAATTTCATTGCTCACTTTTCTCCAATTTTAATTTGAAAAGACATTTAACAGAACTGTTACAAATAAGAAACAAACATTTTAGTGCGGCAATATCAATGTATCAAATGAAAACAGCGGCTACTGTGATTTGTTTATGGCCCTGGGACGTTTTCTCATTGTGCGAAAGACTGCTGTATCTTCAGCTGGCTATAGTTCTTCTTTTTCCAGCTTGCTCCCATTGTTCCACAACTTGGTTTAGCTCGGGTTTTCTGGGTTCTTGAGTATTCTTTTTCTTGGACCTTCTGTAGGTGATAGAAGAGATTTGTTGTGTTGCCATCAGGCGCGGGAATAGTTTTATGGCATAGCTTGCAAATGGGCGTCTTTCGCTCTGTCGGTGCTGTTGAACCCGAAATGTAACCAAATCACAGACGTACCCCCTCTTTTCGGTAAAAGTGCTTCTTCTTGGGGTGCTGTGTAGCTGTCTCTGCCTGTTGCATGTCCGGGCATGAAACTGCAACCTGTTGCGCGTCCATCGTTTTGAGTTGCCATAAAGCATCTCGCAAATCCGGGTGCACATAAAGCAGCACCATGTCGCAAAACCACAAGACGGAGTTTCTTTACGAAAAATATAAATTTTTTTTTTATACTTTATTTTCTTGTGCATAAAGTTAGAGTATGTATAGTGACAAGACAACACTAATATATTTGCAACAGACTATTTAATGATAAATTTTATGTAATAATTTATACAATTATGTTAGGAACGATAGAAACTATAGAAGACAAATGGCACGATAGACACTTTTCTATCGTCCAGGCGATATATATCGTCATATCGCCCAGCACTACTTGAAACTATTTTTTTTTTTTAACTTGAAGCTTAGAATGTATTTTATTATGAAGAATAACCCTTTGATTTCTTTGATGTGTGTGTGTCAGTGGAAAATGAGAATCACTGCGACTTTGTTAAGCTGAGGGAGATGCTCATATGCGTAAATATGGAAGACCTGAGAGAGCAGACCCACACTCGGCATTACGAGCTCTACAGACGCTGCAAGCTTGAAGAGCTTGGTTTCAAAGACACAGACTCAGAGTGCAAACCTGTCAGGTATGACGTCACAAACCCATGCATACATCCACAAAATGAGAAATTGCACGGGCATATGACTTACAGCTGAGTTATGTGTGTTGCAGTTTGCAGCAGACGTATGAGGCAAAGCGTCAGGAGTTTCTGGTGGAGCTGCAGAAGAGGGAGGATGAAATGAGGCAGATGTTTGTGCAGAGGGTAAAGGACAAGGAAGCGGAACTAAAGGAGGCTGAAAGAGAGGTATACAGTGCATACATGCAAACTGATGTCCTCACAACACACCTTAAGCAATGTGCTTTTTGCCCCGAGTTTCCTATTCTTTATATTTAATAGACAAATAAAATCTCTCATCAGCTGAAGAGATTAAAGTAAAAATGAGTTTCCTATTGGGAAAAATAAAGTTAGCTTTTCCATTTTTCCCCATTAAAGAAGTCATTTATTTATATTCCGCTTTCAGTTTTATGCTCTATTATAAAAAAAAAATTCACTGATGTTTTGTTTTCACCCAATCAGTCTACCTTTCTACACTTTTACATTTAATTTGTTCCACGTGTGAAAGTAACTATTATGTAATGAACATGTGTTGTCACATCTCATTCTTTCAGCTCCAGAGTCGTTTTGAGCAGCTCAAGCGCCTCCATGCAGAAGAGAAAGCTGCTTTGGAGGAGAAGAAGCGGCTTCTTGATGACGACCTAAGCTCCTTCGGCAAGAGAAAAGCTGCTGCCCAACTCCTGCAGGCCCAGAGCCTCACTGCCAATGGCAAGAAGGACAAAGACCGGAAGAAGTAAGAGAATTCTGCAAATACCAGTGCCTGTGCTTTTATGGAATACTGGGGGGCGAGTCATACTGGACATCTGAGTAATGTGTTAGGAATAAATAGATTCCACATTGTTTTTTGGAAATGAAAATTATCAACATACAGAGGGCTGAATTCATCAAACCAAAGAAAAAATGATGGCTTAAAATTACAGTTGATTTTTGTGAAGTTATCAAAAAACTCATGACTCCTCGAGTGATGCCACTGACCAGCCAATCGTGGCATGCAGTCTGTAGATGTCATATTTTTAATACCTGCTCAGATTGCTTGGAACCTCGGCTGGTCAGGTACTATTTTAGTATCTGGTACCAGGTACTATGACCTAATGGAAAACCCTGAAAAATCGATCTGAGTAGGTAATAATGGAAAAGGAGCTATTGTTGCCTCTTAGTGCTCCTGTTGTTAATTTCATAAACACCTCTGCTCCTTAACTGGCCAGATCAATACCCCAGAAGTTTACCTGGCGTGATGCTATACTTTGATTAAAAAGTGTTCCTTTATACATATATAATCATAATATCATATTGTGAGTAAGCACCCCTGCACAGGTCATTAATTACTTGTTCTCTAAGAGACAGTGCAGATGAAGACATACTCATTGAACTCAAGGGTATCAAATCTGATAACTAATGAGGATGTTTAAGATCTGTGCACATGTAAGATGTTTAAGTTATTGTCACTGATTAACTGCAAACGGGAAATTCTGTAAGTTGCTCATATGTCTCTCTCTTGTTCTTTTTTTCAGTTCTGGTTTCATGTGAAGATTCTCAGTTGTGACCAGCAAAACCGGTGACATTATACCCCACACCCTTTCCACACCCCTGTGGCCAGTTGTAACACTAAAGAAACCGCCCACATAAATCAGTTCAACAAAGTCCAAAATGGGTTTTAAAATGAATCATGTATTTAATTTTTTATCTTTCTAGCAGTGAAGTGGTTCCTGTGAGGTACAATTCACTTTCAGCTTGTCAGCACCATATGTAATAATCCATCACCATTTTTACAGGTTTGTCTAGTGTTTCTGTCATTAAGAGTTGTCAGAAGTGTCACAGGATATTATATTTCCCTGTTTCTTTCTAGTTTTTTATATTCTCTTTGTTTGGTACACCACCTTGATGATCTAAATCTTCAATCTGAACATACTAGCATTAACTAAAAAAAACCCCCCAAAAACACTGTTAGGAACCTCACACGTTCTCTTGCGGTTGTTCCAAAGGGAACACATTGGTTCAGAGTGTTTCACTTCTCTGCCGAGGTTTACAGTTAAACGGTTTTCTGAGGAGGGTAAAACAGAGGCTTGGTTTGGGATTAGGTACATGTTACTGTGTATTTTTATACATATATTTTTTGTTTTACTTGCTCTCTTATTTTCATTTTTATTTTATTTTTTTTTATATATTGACACAAACCGTTGACGCTTGCAGTCCTGTCTGTATGAGAAGAGCTGACTCACGGGGAAAAAATGCATCACACCGAGTCGCTGTTTGAGGGAGAATTGTATTTCTCTGAAGACTGTATTCTACATATTTCTGTTCATCGCTTTTCGGACTTTTTAACTGTGTGAAACCCTTTCTCAGCAATACTCCAGCATAAACCGCTGCTGGTTTCAATGATTTAAAAAAAACAAAAACAAAAAAACAACTTACTGTATTTACACTAGTTAAAGGTAATAGTGCCTTATCTGTATTAAACCTAAAAACTACGTTATCCAGTTTGTGATCACATCCAGGGAAACACATCGATGCCTACTGGATAAATGCTTGCCTGAGACACATTTGTACTACACTTATATTTAAGGAATAAACAGTATTATATGGGAGCTTTTCTTCTTTCTAAATAAATCTTTGTATTTTTATGATGATGGATTGTGTTTGTCTACTTCATTAAAGGCTGGGATGTTTATAGGCAACACATCTACTGGTACCATCTACTGGTACAGCGTGAGGTTCAGACTGTGATGTAATGAATGAGGACTGATTTAACCGTACCCACAGTCTGTTTGCACTGGCTTCAAAGATTTGACAGTGGAAGAGCTACAAGCTGAAATGTTATGTCCATGTGTAATGGCATCATTGCAGTCCTGCCAAGGAATTCCCCCAGGATATCTAATTGTGGAGATTATTACACTATTAAATGTACTGTTGGTCTGACATTATACACTGTATTTGGGGGAAAGCATTTCTTTAGCGAGGCCTGTTTTTGCCTCACTAAAGTTTTATTGTTGGTTGCTGATACCACATCTAATCACTGGAATAACACTTTTAAGGCATTTGAACGTTTTCTTTTATACTAAAATAAAAGAAAATGCCTCCATCTGTGTGGTTCAGTTAGAAGAAATGTTAATGTCTACATTTCGTTTTCCTTTTCTCAGAAGATAAGTGGAAGAAGCTTTGCTTTAGAGTAAGATTTAGTAGGTAACAGCAGCTTAACATCTCCCCTACCCACCACTTGCTATATCTGAACACAAACACACACACACACAAAGGGAGTGCCCTATATTGCCTGATAAAGGACTTGTTCCCTGCAGTGTCTTACCCTACAGCACTCTTTCCCTTAGTGCGACTCTGGAGCTGGCACACAGACAGGTGGAAAGACAGCTCTGGCGTATAGCAGAGGAATGCTGATCGATTCCTTGCAGGAGCCTGCAGCACCTCACTGGTATAATAAGCTGAGAAGTGGATACCTAGAGGAGAACCATTTCACCCAGGAAAACTGTGGAGAATGGGCACGTGTGTGTGTGTATATACAGACACCTTCAGCTGCTCTCTAGGAGATTCAGCTCCCAGGTGGGAAGTGATTTCACCCAGTTTTCCTGGAAGAACACAATCTGTGCACTGCAGAAATCTGAAAAATCAAAGAAAAAAGTGCAGCATGCCCTCTCTCTGCTTTAAACGCAGCAGTTTGAGTGTTAGAGTCGAGTTTTTTATGACTGGGTTTACAGCTAAGATAGCTGTCATACACCTGCACTCGCACATGCAGACATTCCCGTACACACACCCCTGTCACCTTTTGCCAGTCACTCTAAATGCAAATGGGGGTGATCGCTGGAGACAGGCTCGACTCGTGGAAAGATAGGGTTGTCATTTAAGGGGAGTGCCGCTGACGCTCTGAAATTTACCAATTACACACCTCATCCACGCCAGCGTTGGCTTTTAGAGGCCAAGAGGAAGAAGATAAGAAAGGAGGAGGATAGAGATTTGAGAATGAGTCAAAGAGACAATGGGGGGAAGGATAAAAGAGGAAGAACGTCTCCTTTATTCCTAAACACCTCTTCACTTCACACACTTCACTAATGATACGCCGACAACCATACCTGGAGTGTTGCTCCCACAGCTTTTCACAAGATAATTATAATTATAGCAAGATACAATATGACTCTCCAGGATGGATTCTCTAATGGCCAGCTGTGAAATCTTAATGGGCTATACAGGTAATGTCCTTGTTTTTGTACCAGGAGCACATAAATGTGAATTGATTCTGCCACTTCCTCTTTCATGATAATCATAAAGCTGCAGGCAACATGTAGAGAAAAAAACACACTGAACAGCTGTTTTAAAACAAAGGCATTTATTGCGAAAAATGCACTTGACATGAAAAAACAATCAAATCAACCACGGGTCATCAGTACAAGACGATGTATAATGATCACATGGTAGAGAGCGCTGGGCGTGGCCAGCACAGAGCATGACTTCAATGGCACAAAAGGCCTATAAATATTCTGCACAATATAGAATAATATATATACTTTTTTTCCTCCCTCTGTTTCTCTCACTGCTCTGCTGGACTCGTTCCTGGAGAGGCATGAGTATCCATGCTCCACCGAACTGTTTTTTTTAATTTATTTTTTTTAATAAAGTTTCTTTTTTATGTAAAGAGCTACATACAGATGCCTCCTCCCAACCTCTCTCATCACACACACAAACACCCAAGTATCCATAGGAACAAATATGGCCAACATCTAAGTCAAGATGGCAGGGTGACACAGCTCAGGCTTCCTGGAAGGACAAACCAAAATTAACTATTATTATTTCAAATTCATCATCTGAAACAAGCTCAATCGAAACAGGAGCGTCATACAAAATCCAACGATGTGTTCGTGTCCAGTGGGAGCTACCGCTGCTGTTCAAAGCCTGTTCACATTTTCCACAACCAGGAAGCTGAGGCAAACGACGAGCTTACATCACGTAATCAAAACACATGAAGACAGTTTGCAAAAACCAGCGGTTCAAGTTATTTTGCGTAAAGTGACCACCGTGCAGTGGTTTTATTCCTGACTTTTTGACTCTTGTAAACGCTTTCTCCTCACATCACCCACCCCAAAGAAAAAAAAAAGAACAAACCGGGCAAACAACGACTTGTGCTTAAGTTTGACTCTATAGAAATTAAAGTCCTCAGTTTAGCGGGCATCCAAACAGATCCAAACTTTGCTCAGTGTTTCTTCGGAAACTGTTCTGGGATCCGCTGGTTTTCCGTCTTTGTGCGGATTGAAAAGCAACCAGCAAACTTATCACACTGATACAAACAAAACAAAGAGGGAAAGGGGGCACTGATCTACCTAGAAGGAAAAGTAAGAGTGTATACTTGTGTTTGCGTGTGTATTGACATTTGTAGGCACTGGGGTTTGACTGACAGGTTTTGAAGGCCAATGTAGATATGTTCAGATTGAAGTTTCCCATCACAATATCAAAAAATTTGGCATTTACTTTCCCTTTTGTTTTTTTCAAGGTAAATAAACTGGCACTTTTAATCGACTGACCCCAAACGCCCCACTGAAACACATACAAAGATCATAGTCTGGTACACTTGTATAAAATAACATCACATAGACAAAATCGACCAGTTAAACATTAAACGTGTTAAGAATTGAAGCGAGTTTCTTCATATAAGTAATGTTAACGGAAAACAGCCTAGCCCTAGTCTGTATGTGTTGGAAAAAACTTTAATTTAGAGTCCAGTATATTTATTTTGCTTGTTTTTCAAAATTATATGCCTAATGTTCAGAAAGCACAATATGTCACAGCATCAAAAGTATCCGGGAGGGGAAAAAATGGTTTCTAGCGAATTCGACGTTGTAGTCTGATTTAGCATCTGTTTATGTTATGTGCTTTTTTCTTCAAGTATCCACTGATTTCGCTGGAAGGTCTCAGATTTGATCATTCGGTCTGATAATTTGTGGAAAACACGTGACAGTAGTTTCCAAACATTTTGTCCTCTAGAGTTTGTAGAGTTTCCTCTCTGAGGAAGAAAAAAAAAAGACCAAAATGCGACAAGTTTTGTGCCATTTATCTTGTGGATGTTCTTTATATTTGCTAAAATTGTATGCATGTTCAAAAAAGTGCTCTATAAATAAAGATTCTCAGAGCAGTGTAGATACCTTTTTGTATCTACACTGCTCATTTGATCAACAAAATATAGCACAATGTCAGTTCGACTTCAGGGACATCAATCTGTGCAGGTAGGAAGCACGAGGAACCATTGTGGTGCACATGAAAGTGACAGCAAGACAGCCCACCACAAAGGGAATTACAGGAATTATTAAAGGATTTAAAGGTGGTGGCCACAGACCATTCCTCTCTCCTCATTCCTCCTCACTCATTTTTCAGTAGTTTTTATTCTGTCTAGTGTCCTTCTCACTACTGGCAGCATGTGACGATACTAGCAGGTTATACTACAAAGGGAGTTTTCTGTGTCTTCTGACTAAATCACCGTGGTAACTTGTGCTGATCACATAAAGTGGTCAGGGTCAGGTTATGTTCAGAGTTTTGGTTTAAAATTGACCGGGAGCTCCACTTTCTTGCTGATTCTTTTATTTACAGCATGTTTTAAGCGGAATGTAAATTGTCTGCAGGGTGAATATGTATTACGTGCGCAAGCTGTTAACATCATGAATGAATCAGAGCGTTAAAGGTTCAGCAGTGCAAACTGGGCATTGGCATGATACATTTATTCATTTGGTGATGCAGAAAATCTATAAATGTTGTTATACTTCACACGAATCTGCTCTTAACTCTCTTTTAGACTTCTGGAACTGCAGCTAACGAGCGCAGAACACACACCAATCAATAAAATTACTTTTACTTTGTTCTGCTGACAAACTAAAGCAATTTCCATCCAGATGAGCAGACTCAACGTTATGGCATGTCTGTACGTGATCATCCATCATGACACTTTGACACAATTTAGCAAGGATGGCTTAAAACTGATATGTAACTTTGATGTTTAATTGTATCTATTTGAAAGTTTCAGAGCTCTGTAATTGTTTGGGTTTTATGGAATAAGCTAAAGCAAAGAAAGCCTGGCTTTGTTGAACTTTGTAGTATATCCCTCTGCTGTGTCTCCCAGCACATCTCTGACTGGCATCAGCAGACTACACCAGAATCGGCATGTCAGCTCTTGGTGGCATCATAAAGTTTGCTACGGCATCTTCATGCTCTTTCACATCTTTCACATGTGCTCAGTGTGAACCTGAACCAAAGCAAGTGAAACTGATTCACAATGGTTTGTGCTTCCTAACTGTACAGCATGACGTCCCTGATATTTTATTTACTTTAGTCTGTACTGTGATGATCAAATGTTCCCTTGATGAATGAATTTTTTTGTGAGCAGTGTATTTTTCTTCCCACATAACATGGATGTAGGAAGGAGACTCAACAGTGCTTAAGCCATAAAGGCTCTGTGCTTAGGATCAGGTTAGAGCCAATTAGAAATCTAAGCAGTCAGCCAATGAACAACCCTCGCCTGTGTGTTTAACTCTGCCTCGTTTAAAAAAATAGGTGAGGAAGTGCCTCGTGCCCTGTACCTGTGCTCTTTGACCGCCTCTTTCTCTCTGATGTACCGCCGCACACACAGCGAGTGAGTCAGGCTCTGAGTGTTGCTGTGCTTTTGTCTCCACAAGCAGAAAAACAGGTAGGTGGTTGTGGCAGAACGTAAACCAGGCAAGCCTGCATCTAAACTCTGGATACGAAAGAATCACAGAAGCAGACAGACTACACTTTCACTAAAGCAGAACAAAATTATTTGACACGATCTGAGTAACAAAGTCAATTCTGGCAGTTGCATGATGAAAGTTTGTGTCCTCTGAGTTTCCCCTCTCAGCTATTCTTTCACGAGCATCGAGTCTGTGCAGTTTTGGTTTGGCAACGTTGTCTCAGAATAGATAAAAAACTGTCGAGGAAAACGCTGAGGAAGAGGAAATACTCTTCGCAATCTTTGTACTTATTTGATGAGAACTGTCAATAATGGAAACTTTGTTTTTTTTACATTTCAAGCTGACATCTGAAAAAAATGTTTTAGTCATTTCGCCCCACCAAAGAAATTTGTGCTTTCTTAAAGAAAAATCATATTTGCGCTTAAAACAAGTATGTCACAAGCAGCAGTGGAAATCCCCTTTGTCAAGTAAATACTGTACATTAGTAAAATACTGTAAATGTAGATATTCTGGAAGGTTGTATCAAATATTACCAAGTGCATTTCTTTTGTTTCTAAACTCATACAGAAGTTCAAAAACAGCATTATAAATACAAATGAATTCTTTAAAGGAGTTTTGGTGTGACTTTGTGTTCCTTTTTACATTCAACAATTCAGCTTAATCCAACTGATGGGGTCTGTTTAAATCAGATGTAATAAAAAAAAACTTGAATAAAAATAAGCGGTTCACCATTATGTTATGATATAGAAATAGAAAAAAGAATGACCTAATTTAGACTTTCTGTGACACTGGCTTTTAAATTACAAATCCTGTGACAGACAGCACGGCAACATAAAATATCTATTTCAACATTTTTTAAAAATGTGATAATGCTACATGCATCGTTAACAAATAATATATCGGGTTGAAAAGAAACATACTGGTCGTAGATTCGACACAGAGATGTGCTTACAATGATTCTGGAGTGTAGGCTTATGTGCTTCCTCATCACCTGGCTGTATGTTCTCACTTCTCAGACAAAGAAAGCACCCGAATTTAAGTTCTGAGGTCTCAGAGGAAAAGCAAAGCTAATGCTTTTTTGAGCTAGTGTTTGCTGGTGGATGATGCCGAGGAGGAGAATTAGGAGGCAGGGTTCGTCTTTCTGTGCTCTTTCAGTCTGCGTGCCTTCAGTAGTCAACATCACGGGTCTGGAAACCGAGTCTGATGGAGCCCCTCTGACCCAACACTGGGCGGATAATGGGAAAAGCTGCCCTGCTTCCTGTGTGGCTGAGCTGGTCGAGGCAGGGACGAGCTTTCTTGTACATTATCAGTGTGTATATGTGTTTGTGTGTGTAGATAAGTTGGACTGATATGGATTACTATAGCCAACACCAATAATTAATAATTAATAATATAATTTTTTTATGGATTAATAAAGTATTCTCATTCTGAATTATATTTTCCAAGAGAATCAAAAACATTTTAATTCTAAACAGATTACTTGGCAAATATAAATAACAAAAAAATCTCCTTTGTTTTCAAGGTTAGCCGCCTCTTAAGGCCTTGTTGAGCTTTAATCCAATAAAACAAAGATAAATCTGGGGAACCTAATATCAGCCCAACCTTGGATTTTGTGTGTGTGTTCATGTGTTTTATGACTCAGTAACAGGAACAATGTGTGCATTCATTCGTCCACTTTTTGCAGTTCAGAAGCTCTCGACAAAGCTGCCTGGAAACAGGCCGGTCTGACCCGTCCTCTGCAGAGTGCCTTTGTACCAGCCGTCGTCCCTCTTCTTATGGACGAACACCACGTCTCCCTCCCGCAGCTCGATCTCTGCCTCGCTCTGGGGTGGGTACGGAACCACCACACGATACCTGCCTCACGGAAACACAGAGTAGCAAAGTCAAGATCGCATGCTGGGACGATCCTCCTAATTAAATGATATCAGCCAAATGATCAAAATCTCTGAGCAATGTTTCCAGCTCCTTATTGAATCTATGCAAAGAACATAAATTCTGAAGGCAAAAGGGGGCCAACCAGATCCTAGCAAATTGTCAGTGAGTATAAATGTTACAATTTAGATGACTAGTTAGTCACTTCTGTGGAATATCATACTTAATTTTTTATATTATATATATATATATATATAAACTGTTTCTTTTTTTTGAGAACCAGAGATTAATTCCACAGTCCCGTTAAATCTTCCCCAGTGAATGATGTTTTTGTAAGTGCGTGATAAGTTGTTGTGATAACCATAGCGCTGATGTTTTGGTGTAATGCTGTGAAACACAGGGGACGAGATTTGTTTTCCTTCTCTGCTTTTTTCCTCGCACAAACAGAATAAGCATCATTCTGTGATAACCAGCGTTCCCATTACACCAGCATCCTGCTGACAGTGATAATTTCATGCTAAATGCATTATTCCCCCTCATCGTCCAGCTGAGGAGTCTTTAAGTGCGTTCCAGCATTTACAGGTTTTTTCTAAGGAGGCACAAAGTGTGTGTTAGTGTGTGTTCATGGGAAAGAAAAAGAATGAATGTTTTCATGAGTAGGATGGCTTACAGGGAGCTGTCTATGTGTACACAGGCTTTGGCTCTCTTATACACCTCTTGCCTGCCAGTCAAATCAATGCACATTACTGTAAGCAATCTGAGTCTGCCATGCCTGAAAACAGTCGACCACGCCAGGCAAGTGGCTATCCGGTCAGACGAGAGCGTCTTTCAGTGCTGGAAATTCAACACTTTCCTATTGAAATCAACATTGCTATAGAGAGTAGAGCTCATTTATTTATGCTTTGAGCACTGAAATGCTTGATGTCAAACCTAAGGAAACATTTACAGTCTGTAGAGGACACCGTTTTATTGCTTAAAACCTTTGCTTAGTAAAGTAATCAAAAGTTTAGTTACATTACTTTAGTGTTGTAAATAACATAGAAATGCATTAAGCGATGCAATTTAGCTACGAAGGTAACCAGTGTTTTGTAACCTCTTCTATTTCACAGGTAACACTCCTAACACTGTCTGTGTTTCACCATAGCATTGTGATGTGTTCTTATTCAACACTTAAGCTCACATATCGCAGTAAGTGTAGAACAACTAACATAGATGGCAGCATATATAACAAAAAACTACCACCTCAAGAGAAACCCGGTATTACTTTTCTCTTTGTGGGAATGCAGCACCAACTGGTCATGAAGGCACCTCTGGAGAGGCTCCCAGCTTTGTTTTCATCCATTGTCTGCTTATGGTTTATTATCCCACACTCTCACAAGATTTGATGCCAAAATTGCTTAAACTTGTCAGAAAATATTTGCTGTCATTTCCAGCTGGTCAGAGTGCTCGTTTACTCGCAGTATTTACGATATTGTCAGTGTTCTGCGCTCGCACATATCCAAATATTACCTTGTCTAACTTTTTAATCACTCTGGAGAGAAACAATATAACGGATTTGTTTGAGGAATATTGCATCGCCTGCAGCCTTGTTCTGCACAGTGACAATAAACTTGTGCTTGAGCCAAGTTCATAAAAGCATCACCTCGGCCTGCAAGCGTGTTTGTTTATCTGTGTTTATCAAGCGGCAACCTCCGGGGCTGGAAAATAAAGCCAACATGGAAGTGCCAAACACTCCTTGAAGGCTGGCATTAAAACCAAATAACCCACATGTTAAAATGCCCGGATACACAGCAGAATTTAACATATTCTGGCACAAAAAAAAAGGTTTTTGTCTTTAGAGCCAATATTCCTTTTCATGAAAACTGCAGAGGTTGTGAATTTTGGCCATGTGGCTGCTTTAAGTGACAGGCGCTCAAAGAGTTTGAGCATCTGCCTGTTACTTGATCCCTCTCTCAATCAAGTTGGTGGTATTGGTGTCTTCTGCAGAGTTTTTGATGTAAACTATGGATTCAGCTTGAGAACCAGGCTTACTTTTATTGACTGATAATTTTTTACTCCACCTCTCATCCAAACATCCAATCCAAACCACTCTCTCAAACATACAAATGTTAAGCTCGTAACAGCAGGTGGCTAAATCCACCTGTTGTGTACAGACTATTTAAGTGTGCGCGTGTGTGTTTTCATGTGTCTGTGTGCCCACCTCTCTCTGGACAGGGGTTTGGGTTCAGGTCGGAGGACCATCAGAGCATTGCCAGCACGTGTTGCCGGGGGTGACATGGGGAAGTTGGTATCCAGGGAACCGGACTTTCTGTGCAGAGGCTCCAGCCCAATTGCCCCCGCCATGTCGCTCTCGATTGGACAGGAACCGGCTCGTCCTTGCGACGCCATCGGACAGGAACCTGAGCGGGCGTGGTGGTGATGGTGGTGCACGGGGTCGGTAGCCACGGCGCCTTGACCAGTGGGGTCATGGGTGGGTGGGGAGGATGGGGGTGAGCGAGGTTTCTTCTTTGCTGCGGCGCCCGATAAGAGTTTTAATAAACCTCCTGCTTTCCTCTCCTTCTGAATACAGAGGCATGAAGAAAAAGATGCAGGGGAGGATGGAGGGATAGAATAAGGGAGGAACAAGAAAACAAATAACTCAGAGCTAGTAAGGGTCATCGTTTTTCTATATAAAGGTATATTTCGGAAGGCCTTTCTTGATAAGAAACTAATAAAAGTGATGTAAAAAAAACAGGTCAGGAGGGTATTGTTTGTTTCCTATAACTAAATAACAAATACATTATAACATGGAGAAATACAGAAAACAATAGCGATGGCAAAACAACGCAAGCTTTACAAGTGTCAGAAAATTTCAGGTATGATTTACAACACATTAAATATTTTTATGCATACTGCTTTGCTGCCTCTTATGTTGGAAAGGAAATAAGAGTATCTATCAAAATATTCCAATTACAATATTTAGTGTAACTAAAGTGTGGTCAAAAGTTTAGATACATGTTTACTTGGGCATGAATGTCGTGGCTTTTAATGAATTCTTTGAACCATTCTTTTTCCAAAGAGGAATGATTGTACAGCATACAACTTGTAACTTTAAAGTTTAAATGTAACTATTTTGGATCCACTCCACAGGCTCAAATATATTCATACACCAGCAGTCTCCCAGTCATGGCAGGCTTGAGCCTTTGTGGTTCCTGGGTTGTCCGTCAGCATCCTAACCAACGTCATCTCATCTGAGGGTAACAATCTGGATCTTCTTCCGGACTTTAGCAAAGTGGTGAAACAACCAAAGTTAATAGGCCTTGATCTTGTCAAGTTAACACACATTGTAAAATCTTCAGCACTGCTTATTAAAAGATTTAAGAGCATGTATGTATATATTTGAACCTCTATGTATACCTTTTACCCTATGTGGATTAGATAATATCCATAATAAATAAAAAATTGTGCCCCAAAATTCTTGTTTTTCAAAGTAATCAAAGCTGTATGATCTACAATTATTCCCCCCTGGGGAAAAAAAAAACAGTTCAAAGAAATGATTAAAAGCCTCAAATGACCATGGCATTCAGACCCATGGTGAGCAACTTCTGAGCACAATTGTACCAGTCTACCAAGCTATGACTGACAGTTTTACAGGTGTCCCAGTGACAGCAAGCCAAAAGTAAAACTACCATTGTTCTTAGTTAACTAATATTACTGTTAATTTTTTCTTTATTAATCACTATGAAGTATTTTGTGTAAGTCTGGAATACATTGAAAACGCAGCTCGAGTCTTCTTTCCTGCATTAGCATGCCTTACACTCATGACTTAGAAAGAAGGAACCAGTGGATATGTGAGATTGTTAAGAAATCTGTGTTCACAGTGTGAATGCCCGTGTTACACTGAGTGCTAACTGAGGAAAGTGGTTGGGTATGTGGTCTTCAAGCTGATTACACATGCAGCTGACTATGGTGTATTGATTATAGAGCAAGCGTTTCTTAATGGCGTCTGTGAAGGCAGATTCATGCCTTTTCATACAGGCTTCACTGTGATTGATCATGGACGTGCTTGGCAATACTGTCCATTCAGCTCATACAGCTTGCTGTGATTTCACACCCTTAATCATGATGACACGAATCAATAGTAAGCATGTCTGAGCATGATTTCAGCTGTTTTGGAGACGCACACAGAGAATTCATATTGGCTCTACCTCTGTCTCACCTATTTTGGTTGCTAGATCAATCATCAGATCTTTCTACGTACACATCTATCTATCTATCTATCTATCTATCTATCTATCTATCTATCTATCTATCTATCTATCTATCTATCTATCTATCTATCTATCTATCTATCTATC